CCTGGACAAGTGAAAAAGTGGATAAGTCGGTCAGATCTAGTCTTGACACTTGGTCAGATCAGTCCAACTTTGTCTTTTCTTCGAGTTCGATTGCTACCATGATCAAACACTATGGCATACTATGGCACTATGGAGCACCCCTGACTCGTGAAATGTTGTGAAATCTGTTCTTTGTTCCTCTCATTTTACGTTGTTCCCTCTACTTTCGTACATATTCAGTGCACATGTGCTTTCCCTTTTTCGTTATTTTTTTTGACTATATATGTTAAGAGTCACTGTGTCCTTTCAATCTCAGCCCAGGTGACCCGCAGGGCACGATCGGCACCAGCAGTGGCCGCCAGATGCACTGGTGCCCACCCCTCCGAGTTGAGAGCATTGATCCTTGGGAAGCGTCGACAAATAGCAAAGTGAAACGCATCAAATGTGTTCACATGAAATGTCGACAGAATCAATGAATCAAATGAATATGAAATTAAATGAACACCTGACCTGTTCTCAGAAACATCCAAGCACAAGTTAGGCATCAACATGATGTTATCATGGTTGCTGGCTACAAGGGCATCGCTACTAGTAACAGGGGCATTACTACTAGTAGCTAGAAGCTATTAACTTAATCTTATTTTATGTTAATTCTATTGGCAAACATTGTTACTACTGGTAAGGCACTTGTTACTAGAAGCGATGCACTTGTTCCTAATAGCTTCTTGTTACTACTAGTTGTCGGCTTTGGGCCCCTTTTTTCGTGACTTCAGGACTCCCATTCATCTGAGACCCAAGCCCTCCAGCTAACAAGTAGCTAGTAGCTGGGCGAGGGCAGCTCACCACCTGCATCCATGGCCGAAAGGGCCAAGCACAAACCAATTCAAGCGATTTTTACTGAACTTTACTGCTAGAAGACCAATGAACAACAACAGCAACAACAACAACTGCAACTGCAACAGCAACAACAACCCTTATGGCATCTCCGGTTTGCGAAGCTCTACAATAAGCTAAGAAAGGGAAAACAAGAACGCTTTCAAGTATCGGGCGGTAGTTTGAGGAGCAACCTGGCCTCTCTTCCTTCCAACTCGCGAACAAGCCGAGACAAGGCCTCAAAAGGAGAGGGGAAGTCTGTGCAAGGGCAGACGCTATGATAGGGGAAAATGCACAGTTGATTGCCCTAGATCCTGCCAGACACTGGACTGACAAGCACAAAGAAAGCTAAACCAATGAGCAGGCAAGGAGTGCTTCACTGTCCAATTGAACAATAGCATCCTTTCTTCCGAGCTTGGCAAAATCCGACGTCTTCTTTTGGAGTAAAACGTGATCCGGAAGGCTTTGAAGGAAGAAGATGAAAAAACATCATCTCTCAGGGATGCACTTGTTACTGATAGCTTCTTGTTACTACTAGTAAGGCACTTGTTACTAGTAGCGAGGCACTTGTTCCTAGTAGCGAACATTGTTACTACTAGGTGTGATGAGAAAACATCATCTCTCAGGGACTCCAACCTCTGCGTCACCCCGTGCTGCAGCTCGATGCAAGCCGTCTGCCCTCACCTCCGGCTGCTCAAGCGAAGGCCTCCAACCTCATTAGTATGTCTTCAGATACCTAGAAACAATGTTCCTAACTAGGAAGGTGTGCATCGCTACTAGGAACAAAGGGCCTTACTAGTAGTAACTTGAGGCCAGGGGGAGGAGGTCGAAAGCTAGCCGAATCGCACCGGATGTACTAGTCACATAGTCGGCAAAGCATGTAGTGAGTACATGTTCTGGGAGGAAGGTTGCTATGTACATACTTTGCGCTAAAGAATGTAAATGTGACATCGCTGACTGGGAAGGGTACATTGGAACAACCCGGGTGCACTCGTTAGCAGGCACGAAGATGCGTGATCGGCAAATCTGGGGGGTAAATTTACCCTCCGCTTTTGTATGCCTTGAGGGGTAAGCATTTCTGACATCATACGGACTGTACATACACTAGGGCGTCCGTAGTGTAGGAGAAGCACGGGCAAAAGGTATATGGAATAGAGTGTCTTGAGGAAATAGCCGGCTTATGGTTATTGCAAATCTGGGGGGGTAAATTTACCACCCGCTTATGTATGCCTTGTGCCGGAAAGAGGAGTAAGCATTTCTGGCATCACAAGGACTGTACATACACTAGGGCGTCCGTAGTGTAGGATAAGCACTGGTAAAAGGTATAAGGAGCAGAGTGTCTTGAGGAAATAGCCGGCTTATGGTTATGGCAAATCTGGGGGGTAAATTTACCCCCCGCTTATGTATGCCTTGAGCCGGAACGAGGGGTAAGCATCACAAGGACTGTGCATACACTAGGGCGTCCTTAGTGTAGGATAAGCACTGGTAAAAAGGATGTAAAAGGTATCAGGAATAGAGTGTCTTGAGGAAATAGCCTGTGTATGGTTATAGCAAGCCTTGGGAGTAAATTTACCACCCGCTTATGCATGCACTAGGTTAGAAATAGGGTAAACAACTTGTAAGGGTGAAGTACAAGTCCTATGCAGCAAGCAGCAGCCAGCAGCAGCAGCAGCAGCAGCAGCAGAAGCAGCCGCCTGCAGCCAGCACCCAGCAGCAACCGCCAAGCAGCCAGCCAGCAGCACCACGCAGCAGCAGCGCAGCACCAAGCCGCAGCAGCAGCAGCACCACCGGCAGCAAGCAGCAAGCAGCAAGCAGCAAGCAGCAGCAGCAGCGGCGTCGTCAGCAACAGCAGCAGCAGCACCAAGCCGCAACAAGTAGCAAAGCATGAACTACCTCAAATGATCTCAAATATACACGCAACTCATTATCATTATACCTATCAGCTTGTTAACTTCTGCATTGAATGAGCCACTCGAACCAGCAAAACGAAGGAACGACGTAGCATGGAGGTGAAATGGAGCGTGCTCACCGTAGGACATGCCTTGACCAAGGATTGTAGATGCAAACAATTGCACAAACATATGCACACCTTGCCGCTGTCTGAACACCAGCAGAGCTATCACGCAATTCATTCAGTGGAATGGTGGTATGCACCACGACAATAAGCGAAGCGGCGCAGCTGGGAGTTGAACCGCGGGGGGGGGTTAGCTTGATATATCAATCTTTAAGGCACGCAGCCCCTCCCACCACAATATTGCTAAAGCAAAGAAGAACTCAGCTAGCATGCTAGCTTTCGTGACAAGAAGCTAGTAGAGACAATATCTTATTATATATTTTTTTACACGGGGGGTGGCAGGGCATGAAGCAGCTTAAGCGGTAGGTTACTATCTATATAGCTATTTGGCTGGGACTCAGAAAAGCTCAGGCTGCGGGGAGAAGCCTTCTTGAATCATTGAAGAACCCTTGCGTGATTGATTTGGTTCCTAGAAAAGACTTGAACAAAACGGTCAAATTGAGAATTGAATGCGTAGGGCCCGGATTTCGCGTTTGTCTAGATACGCGCGCCAATCGAATCGCTGGCGTAGCCTGTGCTGCGTGAAGCTGAGATAAGGAGAAGGACATCACGTGGTAGAGGAGGACCGATCCAGCGCCTAACAGAAGCCTTGGAGAGCAAGGATACCCCACTTGGAGGGAATGAAGCGCACAAGGGACGCGCGCCCTCACGGCTTGCGGGTGTGCTCAAAAGAGGTAAGTTATAGGAAGCGATGAAGCCAAAACATGCAAAAAATAACCATCCACGTGTTGCACGACGGTCGAAAACGATTTGAGTTTCAAGAACAGGAGACTGCCAGTCAGCCGTTTGCAGTCTAGGAAATGCGCAAAGAGTTTCGGCCATCGGCAAGGAACAGTGAAAGCTCTCGCCAACCTCACCGAAGTTTCAAAACAGAAGGGGTACTGTTTGCAGGGCGCTACCACAAAGAAGGACTTTGTTTTTGCAACTCTGCTGAGTCAGTACTGTTGCGCCAGAGTGTCAAGGAAACATGTTTAGGAATCTTTGCGGCTGACCCCAGCGGCTGCGGGACAACACATCTGCGTTGTTGAGGGGCCAACTTCTCACGGGTCCATTCCTGCAGTGAATGTCAAGTCTACAGTCTAAAATTGTCTACACCGTAGCCTGAAAATTTTGCACTCCAACCTATTAGCGATGGCCTCCGGCCTCCTAGCGATGGCCTCCAACCTAGTGGGAATGCATGGACTCCAACCTACTAGCGACGGCCTCCAACCTACTAGCGATGGCCTCCCAGCGATGGCCTCCAACCTGCTGACAATGGCCTCCAACCTAATAGGAATGGCCTCCAACCTAATAGGAATGGCCTCCGAACCCTACTAGCGATGCTAGTAGGAATGGCTTCCGACCTGCTGACAATGGCCTCCACCCTACTAGCGATGGCCTCCAACCTGTTGCGATGGCCTCCAACCTAACAGGCCTCCGACCTGCTGACAATCCAACCTGCTGGCGATGGCCTCCAGCCTGAAGATTTTGCACTCCCAGTCAACTGCGTTCAAAAAATAGAACCTGACACCCAGTCCTTGGAGCAGAGGACGGCCAGTATCCTGCCTCAGACAGGATGTGTGCTTTTAGCCCGTGGCCCTGCCTCCTTAATAAGGGTAAGTTCGCTCAAGACGACTAGTTGGCTTCTACTAGCTGGACGCGGGATAGTTCACACTGAAGCGCTCGCACTAATGATTTGACTCCTAGATCTTTGGGAAACTGACAGATACTGACAGGACAGTATCCTGCCAGTATCCTGCATTGCATCTGGCTGCCACTTGGGCTGGATGCACCACGCTCCCTTGGTGCCTGGCCATCCAAATTCCACCACCAAGGAAGGCCAAGAGCGTCTCCAAGTGTCGCAACCAGGCCAATCGCCTCGTTACCTCGTTCCAAACCCCAGCCGTGGCTAGACCTCTTTTTCTCGACTAGTTGCAGCACATCATGAAAGCACAAAACTCACACTCAGTTGGAACCTTCCCAGCAGCCACGTTGGATATACTCAAAGGCCCAGACCTTCTTGGCACGGATGCTCCAGGCTGCTGAGTCAACAAACCTCAGCAGCAACTAGTAGCAAACTAGCTACCAATAGCTACGCACCTTGTTCCTTGTAGCTTCTTGTTACTAGGGCATGTCATTCCGGGATCTGGTTGGGACGTGAACCCATGTCATCGCGATCCAAGGCCGGATGGTTGAAAATCTGGTCACTTGGCAAGGTCCACAGTGGCATGAACCTTTGGTTCCATGCCAACACCTTTGTAACACCCTCACATCTTCCAGACCAATTTCTAAGCAGTCGTTCTCCTGACAGAAGCATCCAACACTGTGGAATTCACGCGTAGAGCGACCACTCTGTAAAATGATCTTGGAATTCAGCTACAGGTACTCTGAGCGTTCCTCGTTAAAAAAGGCCTGCTCTGAGTGGACATTATCTCAAACCCCGGGCAACCTTCTTTGAAGATTCGGAGTGGGAATTCGTTACTCACGCTGACAAGGCCAGCGGCTCCAGCTTCCAAGAAGCGGATCGTCCAAGCACCTTCAAAAAGATGCGAGAATCCTGGGTCGGGCAGCAAGTTTCACCAGTTCCATGGAGGGTAAGGCTTAGTTCCCAGCAATGCTAAAATAATGGAGAATCACTGGTCCAAAGCCTTGAAAACCAAAAAAGGTGACTGTGGAATCCAGCACAAAGGATCGGGCCACATGCCGTTTTAACCAAGCCCCACCTGCGCAGCAATGATGATGGCAGACCCACGCCCGCGACGGCCCTGGCAAGGTTCGCTGACAGAAACTCCGCCCACACGAGGTCTTAAGGATCCTCTAGAAAAACACCATCTGTCTGAATCTCCAACCAAACATCGATGACCTCCCCCTTAGAGCGATGGCCTCCAACCTAAAAGCGATGGCCTCCAACCTAAGAGCGATGGCCTCTAACCTAACAGCGATGGCCTCCGACCTAAGAACGATGCCCTCATAGCAGCAATGGCTTCCAACCTAAGAGCAGTGGCCTCCAACCTACTAGCGATGGCCTCCCCTAAGAGCCATGGCCTCCAACCTATTAGCGATGGCCCCTAACCTTATAACGATGGCTCCCAACCTAATAGCCATGGCCTCCAACCTAAGAGCAATGGCCTCCAACCTAGTAGCAATGGCCTCCAAACCTAATAGCGATGGTCTCCAACCTAACAGCGATGGCCTCCAACCTAATAGGAATGTCCTCCAACCTAATACCTCTGACCTTACCTAATAGGAATGGCCTCCAACCTAATAGCGATGCTTATCTGAATCTGAAACAAGCAACTATCCATGTGACTCTTTCTCTCTCTCTCTCTGTGCGTGCATCTATATCAATATATATTGTTTTGTTCTCGGTTCTTTCTGTCAGCATCTCCTCCCCATCCGCGGCACCCAGGCCAAAGCGGAGGTGTCAAACAGGCCCCGTGACGCAAGCGATCCCCCCCCAAGGTGCCCGGCATTTCCGGCACCCTGAAAGGCAAAAGCCAAATATATCAGATATATCTGCTGCACCAACCGCTTCCAGCGGCCATCATGGCCAAAAGCTGGAACGTCAACCACACCTAGTCTTCCAGCCAAGGATCATTCGCCTTGAAGCTGGGTCAACATCTCCTCAACCTCACGAACCTCTTTTGCGATCCGCGATGCGCCCCCATCCAGCACCACATGCGTAGCACTGCGTTCGCATAACATCGCTTGCCCTTGTTGTTGATGTTGAGCGTGAGATTGGCTGCCTGCAACTCTACGGCCGGTGGAATATGGACATCTCCTTCCACAGGTCTGCACAACATCAGGTTGCTCTGAAGCGCCGTTCTCATTCTCGAAACATGCTTCAATGGCTCAAGTCCCCAAACTCGGGTCTCAACTTTTCCAAACTCTAGACTCTAGATCATCTCTGAGCGAAGCCGGCAATGCTCTAATGGCCTCCAAGGCCCTAGCGTGCAGAGTTTCAAGCCGATTCTGAAGTTGCCCAGGCGTCTTCCAACAATGCATCTTCATCAGTTCTCCCCCTTTTGCCACTTTTAAGGAGCTGCCAAAACGGAGAAATCTATCTCTGGTTTCTGTTCCTCCAGAAGCTGTGGACATGGTCAGAGGTCCCGCCTACAGTAGTTCCAGGTTTCCCCAGCCGCTCCGTGCTCCTCAAGCTTGGTGCCTCTGGCACGCTGTCAGCAACAGTCCCATTGCCACGGTCAAGACCTGTTGCGGTCTCATCCTCGTCAAAATCTTGTTGTACACAACTTGCTCTACTTCTTTCTCCATCGCTTTTCAACGCCATTGGCAAAGCCGGAGCTAAGACAGAAGTCAAGCGGGCGTCAACACCTTGAATTGCGTCGGATTTGAAAGGCTCTGCAAAATACTCGCCCACACCGCCACACGGCGGCTGCAGTCCTTGAGGCCAAAAGCAAGGCGTGGTTGCAGTGGCTCCACTCTGACACTGAAAGCGCATTGCATCATCATGCGCAGACAAGCTTTCCTGAGGAAACTCCCCAACCCTGAGCATGTTGCCGTTGCTGCAGCTCACAAAGCTCACGCATGACCTCTTCACCAGCCATTCGCATGAAGTCCCCACATCGCCAAAAACTCAAACATTCCCAATTGCTTGAGAATCCCCAAGGCTGCAATTTCGATGACCAGCCGTGCCTAACTGTGGTGATGGCCAGGACCAAGTCTACTTGCCATTCACTCTGCCAATTTTCCACTTCCGAATGGTGAGAAGGCCTTGGCCCGCTTCCAGGGTTACCCTGACTACTGGGTTTCTTGCGGCACTTCAGCAAATTCTCAGCTAGATGTCTCTCTAGCTCTGATTTTTGCGAGTCCGTGTACAGAATGCCAACCTGCGCCAGAGCTGTGAGCACATGGTCATTGGCATCTTGATCTACATCGGAAAGCTCTTCGTCTGCAGCTTCCTTCGTCTCTTCCTTGAGGATCTTGGCATAGGCTTCGGACTGTGCCGTGAGTTGTTGTTGCTCCTTGTCAATCAACTCCTGTACGGTGTTGAGCTCATCTAGCAGGAGCTTGTATTGTTCCTTGGCAGTGTCAACTCTTTTCTGCAATCCTACCTTTTTGTTCCACATTTGTCGAAGCTCACCAACCGTCGCCTTCAGCTTACCGCTGACTTGACCTCCCCTGGCAGGGATTGCAAATGGGCCTTCAGCACTGATTCCAAGGGCTCGGGGAGTAGTCAATACCCACAGATTGCAGGCTTTGCGCACATCCTCTGCCAAGGAAGTCGCTTCCTCTCTTTGCCTCCAAGGCCTGGTGGAGCCTCAATCTTCCTCGTTCTCTCATGTCGTGGTTTCCTGACTGCCTGTTGAGGAGAGCAATCTCCAGATCTTGGCCAGCATTCTCCACAACGATCACAACACCACCGAGTGTCAGTGACGCCCAGATCCATGAACTTGCACGCAGATACCTGCGTCGGGTCTTCACCCCGCTGAAACCATCCCATCCATTGGAGACCAGCTCGAAGGCGTCCTGCGCCAGGTCGAAGATCTCCTCAAACTCAATTGCTAGGAAGGGCAAGGACACCCGCCAGGTAGGAACAGTCCGGGGTATACGCAAGGTAGAAGTACCAGCTCCCTCCTCCATCACCAGGGGCCAACCCGGAACCACCTGAACCTTGAGCCCAAACTTGAGCAAATAATTCTTGTTCTATCTCTCTCTCTCTCTCTATCTCAATGCCTTCTCTGCAGGCAGATTTTGTCCCAGCACTTCAGCTGAAGACAAACGCAGGATCCAAGGGGGAATCCTTGGTGTGGAAACTGTTTTCCAAGCATTCCATCACCCTCACAACGTCCAGTTCCCCAAACTCCGAAACCTGACTCCGACATTGAAAGGCTCTTGCAGCGAGGAACGAAACTCCAAGAGCTTCGCAAAGTGTATGGCAGAAATTGCTACAGTTGTTCTTCAGGAGATCCTTAGCAGAGGCCATCGCTCTCAGGTTGGAGGCCGTTGCTGGTAGTAGAGCAAAGTGCAGGATGGTCTCATCCATAAAGTGTGTTTTTACGCTCTTCACGCAACAACAAGAAACACCACCTGAACCTTGCCAAGATTCGTAGCTAGAGCCAGGCCATTGGTCCTTCAGTTTGGATATGTGTTCCTCAATCTCGCTTTCGTTCAATGTCGAGTATCCCAACTCCACTGCGTCTCCTTGGTCCAAGGCGTCGGCAAAACTTACAAAACCTTATATAAGGCATCTTAAGGCCTTGGGTTGTACCTGGCTTCATGAAGAGAGTTGTTTACATACACGGACATCTCTTGGCACTACTGGATCACTACTATAACCTGGATCAAAGGCTCGATAGCTGTGTGGCACGCAGTGGGTCGGCTTGCTCGAAAAAACACCTGGGACAGCACTGACAAAGTCACCCAAATACAGGCAACAAACGCATTGCGCTTCTTGCTGCTGCTTGCTTTTCAATGGTGCTTTTGTGTGAAGCGAAGGGCATGAAGCCCAAAGACCACAGGCGTCTTGTGTGACCTGCAGGACACATTGTTCATTTGGTTTTGAACCGCCTGTGCCGAGTTCACTGAAGCCGTAGCTCCATTCAAAACCTCCGAGACATGGGAAACAAGAGTCTTTTAGAAAATGCACTTGCCACACATTGGCTGAGGGACACAAGAGAGGGACTACTAGGACTACTACGGCACTGAGATGCACTGAGACACCCACCATTGATTTCGATGCCCACGTGGAAGTTGCCGGTGCCCAAGGGCTGCACGGAGCCTTCGCCTCAAGACCGCATACCTACCTGTATCCTAACAGAAAACACACAAACTTCTTTGGTGCTACTAATAGGAATGGCCTCCAACCTACTAGCGATGGCTGCCAACCTACCAGCGCGTCGCGTGAGGTGGATTCAGGTTTTGCACCTTGAGTGGAGCCCATCACCATGTCGTAGAAATGTAAGGTTACAGCCTCAGAAGTGAAACATGTGGGACACATCTTGGCTAAAATGCACTTCACACTTGGCGAACTAGTATTTTTGGACTATCTCTATGCACACGGGGTTCACACTGGACAACAGTTGCCAAGACCGTCGTTGGTGTGTGCGAAATGTCGAGCTGAATATCAAAATTGTATGGCGGAGGCTAGTTCCACCACCAAATGTCCCTGCCTCCTTTCGACGTAGAGCGGCCTAACAGCAAAAATACTAGACGGGCTTGCGCCGTAAGGCACAGCATGCCCAATCATTGAAGTTGCACGTGGAAATGTCCAAAAAAACCTGTTGATGTTTTTGCTTTCAAAGCTGGCAGACATGTGTTTGCCAAGCGCTGGCAGCCTGCTTGAAAGCTTGCAGCCATTGCGTCAGCATCTCCTCAATCACACGCAACGGGGGTCACAGCCGAGACAGCAAAGGTGTGGACAGCCACAACATTGCAGTCAAGGAACCTCATTCTCGGCCTTAGCTGATGGCGCAAGGGTCTTTTGCTGATCGCACAGCATTTTTGCCATGAGGTTGGAGGTCATCGCTATTGAGTCAGCATGTTCACACAGGCCATGACATTAATTCTCCCGAGCTACATCGAAGTAGGATAGCTTCCTTGCCTTTCCAGCGAGGGGAACGGAGTCGAAAACAAATCCTGCGCAAGGATTAGCGAGAAAGCCACAAATGTCTGTGATGTATGATGACCCGATTCTCTGCAGTATCAAAGTGAGCTGCCAAGTGGCCGTAAGGCTTCTCAGACTTATGTTTCACAGCCTGAAGGCAATCCAACTTCCAACTAACAGTTCCTACTAACTCACTAGCCGCAAGCCGTCACTACCTGCGCTCCGAATAATTGTCACCAACTTAAATCCGCCGACCCTGACCTAGCCGATGCCTAGGCGGGGCGGCGCCCGGGACAGCGCAGCGAGAGCCTTGCAGGTTCCGGGACCACGCCTGCAGCTAGGGGCAGCTGGACCAGCACCCGCCACGCAGTTCCGACCGGCTTGTACCGTCACCTGGGCTGTTACTATGCGGTCCCGCACCTCTTTTTCTATAGGGCTCGAAAAGCGACGTTAGAGAGAGTGGCGGCTGCTGGGCACCCTCTCCGACTGCTTTTGCGCGCAGAAATAGATGGGGGAAGGGCGTGGCGACACCAACCCTTTTTGGGCTGTCTACAGGGCAGCAGGACCGGCCTGTGGCCATCACCTGGGCTGCTGCTACGGGGGTCCGCACCTCTTTTTCTGGTTCCACAAGCGACGCTAGAGAGAGTGGGTTGGGCACTCGGGCCTTCAAAGACCTTCTCGATCCTTGCCCCCCCAAAAAAGGAGTCGGCGGCACCAGGGCGTTAGCCCTACTTATTTACCCATGACACGAATGTCTGTTGGAACAAAACGCCAAGAACGCGTTGCTTCACCACTTCTTCATTGCTATTAGGTTGGAGGCCATCCTCTTTGCCCACTCTGCCTCCCCAGGGGCATCGTGACAGCTGAAGCGTGTGGCTGTCATCTGCTCTGTGAAGCGTTCGGCGCTTTGGCGTTGACTGAGATGCTCCTCAGTCAACGAAGCTCACTGAAGCTCCCCAAGGGATTGATGTGGCATGTTTCGCAAACCCCCTGCAGTAAGAGTCAAAATGGCAGGTGGGCCATTTGTGGACTGATGGTGGCCGCAACATCATCGGCACACCCCCATCAATCTGAGGAAGCAATGCAACGCCGTGATGTATCTCACTTTGGCTTGGACAGCCCCCAATAGAATAAAAGTAATGAACCTACGCCGTACGCCTCCTGCTTGCAAAAGAAAAGCACCAATGGAGGGGTGTAGCTATGTCTCCCATGCTTGGACACGTCAGGTATTAAGCTGCGAGCAGCTGTTACTGTGACTCGATGAGGGCCATCATCAGCATGAGCAAGTCACGTCAGTGCATCTCGCGCGAATTCCCTGCCCCACTCTTGCCGTCTATCTTTGTTTCCACTATCTTCGTTTCTGCGATCAAGAGACGTCTTTGTAGATAATGAGCTGCGAGTTGGTCAAAACACACCAGCCTCAGCCGCTTTCAAAAGCGCGGGCAGGCCGTCCCTCGGGCCATCGCTGGTTGGAGGCCACTGGTAGGTTGGAAAGTTGACTGCGACAAGACACGGGGTTGGAACATATAGCCATAGATCGGTCCACGCTTCAGAAGTCTTCCATTCGCATAGGCATTCTTCAAGTCCACCTTGGTCCCACGCAAAGTAGAGGCTGGCCACTCCTGCATTCCTTTCCACCGTTCCCATGGGAATATTATTGCAACCACGACGATTGACATGATACGAAAGCAAAGTTGAATTTGAATACTTGACTTCACCACAGGCCCTGTATCGCTCTTAGGTTGGAGTCCATTGCTCTAGGTTGGAGGCCATTCGGAATACTTGGAATTCACCACAGGACCTGCATTGCTCTCAGGTTGGAGGCCATTGCTCTTAGGTTGGAGGCCATTGCTCTTAGGTTGGAGGCCATTGCTCTCAGGTT